GGGAGAAATGGCCAGGTTGTTTGCAATTGTAACAATTTTTAGATGGGGAGTGTGAAGGGGGATGCCTTTAATGCAGCCCCGATGGCTAAAGCAATATTATGGGAGGCAGAATCAATTCCAGAGCAAATCTTAATATATTCAGAGAGTTCTTTACCGCCGCGCTGTCCGCATAATGCTGCCTGACACGCTGGGTTTGCATTCTCATAGGCTAGCTGTTTAATGAATTCACTTTTGTTTTCTCCTGGGCCAAATAGTCTCTCTGCGGTGTCAGTTAATCGCCCCACAAAATCACTATATGGCTCATTGGTGCCCTGACGGATCTTAGAGAGGGAGGAAGTAATTGACCCTTTAGAGGGTAGACTCCTCCAAGCTGAAAAGGCAGCGTCTTTAATCTGATTTAATAAACCGGGGGGGGGGGATTGAGCTTGTTTCTCATTGGAGTAGTGAGGAGCATTGCCTAAAATTTTTGAAATTGTCCAGATTTTTTAGTCGCCCCCTGCATTAGAATTATGGCGGGCCATCACTTGGCACCTCTCAGTGAAGTCTGCTTTCCAGAGTAAAAAATCTCCATGGGTTAAAACAGCTTTGGTCAAAAGCTGCCAGTCATTAGGAGTGAGCCATCCCCCATCATTAAGGGACTCAATGAGTGACAATGTAAAAGGAGCCAATGGCCCATAGAGGGCGGTAGCGCTCTTAAAATCTTCAATATGTTTGAATTTTAATTTGCGATATTTTGAATCTCCAGATTGACTAGGTAGATCAGAAGGGTTTGGGGATTCTTGGTTATTTTTTTTGGCCTCCCCTGGTTTCTCATCAGAACTATGTTGCTCGTCTTCCTGTGGGGGAGGGCTATCTTCGTCGGCTCGGTTACGCACGAAGGAAGCACTGGGAAAACTTGAGATGTTTTGGGTTTAACTTTAGCTTTATGAGGGACTTTTAATTGTTTAGAAGGGGAATCTGTTAGATCAAGATTTAGGGAACGGACCTGTTCTATGAGATCATTATGTTCCTTTTGAATTTGTAAAAATTCACGGAGGGATTTTATTTCCTTGGAGAGTTTCACTTTAGTTTGTTGGGTAAGGGCTTGGAGGTAGGGATTCATAGAGGCTGAAAGATCTAGGGATGGAGCACAAAAGGGCAAAGGCGGGGGAGAAGGATAGGGAGGGGGTTGTACTCGGGATGGTAAAGGAGGCGGATCGGAAATGTGAACATTTTCATCATTAGCAGGAGGAGGGGAATTAAATTCAGTCAAGGCAGGGTAGATAGATTCTGGCTCTCTAGTGGGGAGTGGATGAGAATTCTCTGGTTCTATTATTGGAATGATAATGGAGGGACAGGGAGAAGGATTATGCGAAGGGAGAGGGGGGTCAGAAGGGGGTGATGGAAGTTGATCCTTTTTAAATTTTGCTTCCAAAAATTTCTCAGATTCAGAAATGGCATCTTTAACATCAGGGTGAAAATGTCTCCATTGTAATATCTCATTAATCATATTCCAATAAGAAAAGGACTGTATTGGGACCTTTTTGGGCCCAAAGACTCTATAATAATCATTAAAACAATCTTTGACTCTATTCCAACGTTTCTTGTCGGCGGTTCCTTCAAGAGGAAACCAAGGACAAGTCTCTTCTACAAATTTGAAAAACTTAATTAAATCCTTTTTCTTAACCCGAACTCCCCTCGTCTTTAAGGAAGATTTTAAACCCTCAACAAGCAACTGATATGTACTTAATTTTTGTCCCATATTTCGGGCTGCTCACTTACCTCACAGGTCGCTTTCTCAGATGGGTGGGTCTGAGCGGACTGCACGTGGAGCCAAACTCGCCAACTGGTCGGAGGTCCTGGGGTCGATCGGCCGATCTTCCGAGCAGCGTCCACCAGGTGAAGACCCCTTGTCTCGAGCCCCACTTTCGGGCGCCACTTGCCCCGGCCAGCAGGGCTCATAATTAGCAGAGCTCGAGAAGGGGAAATATCTTGAAATGGAACAAAAGAGGCACAGAAAGAAGGAGACCAAGCAGAAGCTCGTCAAGGTCTCGTTTATTTTAGGCACAGTCAGCATATATAAAGACAAAAAGGGGGGGCAATTTTTGGGGGAATTCCAGAGCGCACAATTGCTGCAACAGGATGTCTTGAGATAAGGATACCGATGGCTTCAGAGCGGATCCATATATCACAAGCTGTCACAAGATGTTGCTAGGCGACAGATCATGCCACCTCTCTGCTCAAGGCCATTGTCATGGGTAACGGCACGTCCCTGCCAGTGAGGTGATTCAGAGGTTAACATGGAGGCGGTTATGTTGGGCTCAAAAACAACTCTGAGAGTATATATATTTGGTTCCCTACAGTTTCAACTGCACAAGGAGTCTGAAAAGTCCACTTGCTTTCTGAGCTCAAACTGAAATTATACCCAAGGTCACAGAATTCTAGATGCTTGTGGAGCCTCAGGGATTCTAATCACTTTCTAAAGCCTCAGGGTAAAGCGGCCTAGAAGTCACTCCGAAGGAGTCTCTATCTCTGCCAGGCAGACACCTACAAACAAGAAGGAATACAGTTGCACTCCATATGAGAAGGGGACTTCAAGGGTAAACTGACAGAGTTGCAGCCCCTTGCACTGTGGAGTACTTCACATTCAGGAAACTAACCCCATTGGGTTCAAAGGGCTAAGCGGAGAATAAAGCTGTTTCCCACGGAAAAACTGCGATTTCAACCACACAAGGACTCTGAAAAGTGCGCTTGCTTTCTGAGCTCAAACTGAAAGTATCTCCAAGTTCAAAGAATTCTAGATGCTTGTGGGGCCTCAGAGCTGCTAAGCACTCTCTTAGGCCTCAGGGTAAAGTGGCCTAGAAGCCTCTCTGAAGTGAGCCTCTATCTCTGCCAGGCAGAGACCTACAAACAAGAAGGAATGCAGTTGCACTCCATATGATAAGGGGACTTCACGGGTAATCTGACAGAGTTGCAACCCCTTGCTCTGTGGAGTCCTTCACATTCAGGAAACTAACCACATTGGTTTCAAAGGGCTAAGCAGTGAAATAAGCTGTTTCCTGGGGAAAAACTGCAGTTTCAACTGCAGAGGCTTTCTGAAAGAGCGCTTGCTTTCTAAGCTCAAACCGAAAGTATCACCAAGGTCAGAGAGTTCTAGATGCTTGTGGGGCCTCAGAGCTGCTAAGCACTCTCTTAGGCCTCAGGATAAAGTGGCCTAGAAACCTGTCTGAAAAGAGCCTCTTTCTCTGCCAGTCAGAGACCTACAAACAAGAAGGAATACAGTTGCGCTCCATATGAGAAGCCTACTTCAAGGGTAACCTGACAGAGTAGCAGCCCCCTGCTCTGTGGAGTCCTTCACATTCAGGAAACTAACCACATTGGTTTCCTGCCCCGGCCAGCAGGGCTTGTAATTAGCAGAGCTCGAGAAGGGGAAATACCTGGAAATGGGACAAAAGAGGCGCAGAAAGAAGGAGACCAAGCAGAGGCTTGTCAAGGTCTCGTTTATTTTAGGCACAGTCAGCATATATAAAGACAAAAAAAGCGGGGAGCAATTCTTTGGGGGAATTGTGGAGCGCGCAATTGCTGCAACAGGATGTCTTGAGATAAGGATACCATTGGCTTCAGAGCAGATACATACATCACAAGGTGTCAAGATGTTGCTAGGCGACAGATCATGCCACTTCTCTGCTCAAGTCCGTTGTCATGGGTAATGGCAGGTTCGTGCCAGTGAGGTGATTCAGAGGTTAACATGGAGGCAGTTATGTTAGGCTCAAAAACAACTCTGAGAGTATATATATTTGGTTCCCCACAGTTTCCAAGGACTAAGCGGTGAAAGAAGCTGTTTCCCATGGAAAACCTGCGGTTTCAACAGCAGTGGCACTCTGAAAGTGTGCGTGCTTTCTGAGGTCAAACTGAAAGCATCCCCAAGGTCACAGAGTTCTAGATGCTTTTGGGGCCTCAGAGCGTCTAAGCACTCTCTTATGCCTCAGGGTAAAGTGGCCTAGAAGCCTCTCTGAAAAGAGCCTCTATCTATGCCAGGCAGAGACCGACAAACCAGAAGGAATACAGTTTCACTCCATATGAGAAGGGGAGTTCAAGGGTAAACAGAAAGAGTTGCAGACCCTTGCTCTGTGGATTACTTCACATTCAGCAAAGTAACGCCATTGGTTTCAAAATGCTAAGCAGCAAAAGAAGCTGTATACAGGGGAAAAACTGGAGTTTCCACCGTAGAGGCACTATGAAAGTGCGCTTGCTTTCTAAGCTCAAATGGAAAGTATCCCCAAGGTCACAGAGTTCTAGATCCTGTGGGGCCTCAGAGCTGCTCAGCACTCTTATAGACCTCAGGGTAAAGTGGCCTAGAAGCCTCTCTTAAAAGAGCCTCTATCTCTGCCAGGCAGAGACCTACAAACAAGAAGGAATACAGTTGCACTCCGTATTAGAAGGGGACTTCAAGGGTAAACTGACAGAGTTGCAGCCCCTTGCTCTGTGGAGTCCTTCACATTCAGTAAACTAACTGCATTGGTGTCAAAGGGCTAAGTGGTGAAAGAAGCTGTTTCCCGGGGAAAAACTTCAGTTTCAACCACAGAAGGACTCTGAAAAGTGCACTTGCTTTATGAGCTCAAACTGAAAGTATTCCCAAGTTCACAGAATTCTAGATGCTTCTGGGGCCTCAGAGCTGCTAAGCACTCTCTTAGGCCTCAGGATAAAGCTGCCTAGATCCCTCTATGAAAAGAGCCTCTATGTCTGGCAGGCTGAGACCTACAAACAAGAAGGAATACAGTTACACTCTGTATGAGAAGGGGACTTCAAGGGTAAACTCACAGAGTTGCAGCGCCCTGCTCTGTGGAGTCCTTAACATTCAAGAAACTAACCGCATTGCTTTCAAAGAGCTAAGCAGTGAAATAAGCTGTTTCCTGGGGAAAAACAGCGGTTTCACCAGCAGAAGCACTCTGAAATGTGCGCTTTCTTTCTGAGCTCAAACTGAATGTATCCCCAAGGTCACAGAGTTCTAGATGCTTGTGGGGCCTCAGAGCTGCTAAGCACTCTCTTAGGCCTCAGGGTAAAATGGCCTAGAAGCCTCTCTGAAATGAGCCTCTGTCTCTGCCAGGCAGAGACCTACAAACAAGAAGGAATACAGTTACACTCCATATGAGAAGAGGACTTCAAGGGTAAACAGAAAGAGTTGCAGCGCCCTGCTCTGTGGAGTCCTTAACATTCAGGAAACTAACTGCATTGGTATCAAAGGGCTAAGCAGTGAAAGAAGCTGTTTCCCGGGGAAAAACTTCGGTTTCAGCCGCAGAAGGACTCTGAAAAGTGCACTTGCTTTATGAGATCAAACTGAAAGTATTGCCAAGTTCACAGAATTCTAGATGCTTCTGGGGCCTCAGAGCTGCTAAGCACTCTCTTAGGCCTCAGGGTAAAGCTGCCTAGATCCCTCTATGAAAAGAGCCTCTATGTCTGGCAGGCTGAGACCTACAAACAAGAAGGAATACAGTTACACTCTGTATGAGAAGGGGACTTCAAGGGTAAACTCACAGAGTTGCAGCGCCCTGCTCTGTGGAGTCCTTAACATTCAGGAAACTAGCCGCATTGCTTTCAAAGGGCTAAGCTGCAAAATAAGCTGTTTCCTGGGGAAAAACTGCGGTTTCACCCACAGAAGAACTCTGAAATGTGCGCTTTCTTTCTGAGCTCAAACTGAATGTATCCCCAAGGTCACAGAGTTCTAGATGCTTGTGGGGCCTCAGAGCTGCTAAGCACTCTCTTAGGCCTCAGAGTAAAGCAGCTAGAAGCCTTTGTTAAAGGAGCCTTGATCTCCACCAGGTAGAGACCTACAAACAAGAAGGAATACAGTTGAACTCCGTATGAGAAGGGGACTTCAAGGGTAAACTGACAGAGTGGCAGCCCCTTGCCCTGTGGAGTCCTTCACATTCAGCAAACTAACCGCATTGATTTCAAAGGGCTAAGTGGTGAAAGAAGCTGTTCCCCAGGGAAAAACTGCAGTTTCAACAGCAGAGGATTTCTGAATGTGTGCTTGCTTTATAAGCTCAAACTGAAAGTATCCCCAAGGTCGCAGAGTTCTAGATGCTTGTGAGGCCTCAGAGCTGCTAAGCAGTCTCTTAGGCCTCAGGGTAAAACGGCCTAGAAGCCTCTCTGAAATGAGCCTCTGTCTCTGCCAGGCAGAGACCTACAAACAAGAAGGAATACAGTTGCACTCCATATGAGAGGGGAACTTGAAGGTTACACTGACAGAGTTGCAGTCCCTTGCTCTGCGGAGTCCTTCACATTCAGGAAACTAACCGCATTGGTTTCAAAGGGATAAGCGGCAAAAGAAGCTGTTTCCCAGGGAAAAACTGCGGTTTCAACTGCAGAAGCGGTATGAAAAGTTCGCTTGCTTTCTGAGCTCAAACTGAAAGTATCCTGAAGTTCAAGAAGTTCTAGATGCTTGTGGGGCATCAGACCTGCTAAGCACTCTCTTGGACCTCAGGGTAAAGCGGCCTAGAAGCCTCTCTTAAAAGAGCCTCTATCTCTGCCAGGCAGAGACCTACAAACAAGAAGGAATACAGTTGCAGTCCGTATGAGAAGGGAACTTTAAAGGGTAAACTGACAGAGTTACTTTTTAGAGTGCTTCTGTGGTTTAAAGTGCAGTTTTGACTGATAAGCAGCTTTCTTCCCCACTTAGCCCTTTCAAACCAAAGCGGTTAGTTTGCTGAATGTGAAGTACTCCACAGAGAAATGTGCTGCAACAATGTGAGGTTAACAGTGAAGTCCACCTGTTGTATGGGGTATAACTGGATTCCTTTTTCTTTGCAGGTACTTGCCTGGAAGAGATTGAAATGCTGTTGTGAGGCACTTGTACTTCAAAAGCCCTTAAGGCCGAAGAGAGTGCTTAGCAGCTCTGAGTGCACACAAGCCTCGAGAACTGTGTATACTTGGTGATAGGTTCAGTTTGATGTTAGAATAGAAATGCAGTTTTCAGAGTGCTTCTGCAGTTCAAACTGCTGTTTTCCCAGGCAAGCAGCTTGTATCACTGCTTAGCCCTTTGAAACCAAAGCAGTTAGTTTGCTGAATGTGAAGTAGTCCACAGAGAAAGGTGCTGCAACTCTGTTAACACACCAGAAGAGTTCACCTCTTATATGGGGTATAAATGTATTCCTTTTTGTTTGTAGGGCCTTGCCTCGCAGAGATTGCATCACTGTTGTGACACACTTCTTCCAGCAAAGCACTTAAGGCATAAGAGAGTGCTTAGCA